AAGAACGACAGTTGGTATATGATAGCCGTACTTGTCCGAAACGATTGTTTTCGTATGCTAAACGGCGAATGAAACGTAGTGATGGTATTCCCCTGTTACTGTTACACGAAAATCCAGATTTACTAGCTGAATCAGATCGAGCAAAAGCTGAGACTTTTTCAAACTATTTTAGCGAAGTCTTCTCTACGTTCATCGTAACAAATACTTGTCCCATTCACACCGAGATACCGATCATTGAATCTGTACAGGTGACTGAGGAAACTGTCCTTCCGTTGATAACTAACCTCAAACCTGGTAAGATACCGGGCCCTGACGGGTTACATCCACGGTTGCTGTCATCTCTTGCGGACATTATTTCAAAACCGCTCGCGACGCTTCAAAATGTTCCTTTCACTCGCACAACTCCCTAGAGATTGGAAAGACTCTATAGTCAGTCCTGTATTTAAGGGTGGTCAGAGACAGATCGTATCTAACTACCGGCCTGTCAGTCTAACTAGCATTGTCGTTAAGTAACTTGAAAAGATGATTCGGGTTAGGTTGCTGAGCCACATATTTTCACACAATCTGTTAGCTTCTGAGCAACATGGATTTCGTAACAAGCGTTCATGCTTGACTAACTTACTTATTGCGAGAGAGGATTGGACAGTAGCCTTAGATAAAGGTCTGTCTGTCGATGTGATATTCATAGACTTTGGCAAAGTATTTTTCAAGGTTTCACATGTAAGTCTTATGCAGAAGCTCACGAGCCTCGGAATAATGTGTACTGTACAGGAGTGGTTAGGTAACTTCTTATGTGACTGCAGACAGAGAGTGAGGGTCAATGGGACGCTATCCGATTGGAAGCTGGTCAAAAGTGGTGTACTCCAAGGCACCATCTTAGGCCCTCTGTTCTTCCTTCTCTGCGTTAATGTGTTACTGCTGTTGCTTAGATCTTCGACATTATTGTTTGCTGATGAAGTAAAGATCTGGAGGACAATAAAAAGTGCGGCTGATCATCTGGATTTTCAAGCTAACTTAGACGATTTAGTTATATGGGCTCGAACTCGGGGCTTAGAAATCAGTTCTAGGAAGAGTGCGCTAATGCACATCGGTCACGGTAATAGTTAACATCATACTATTGATGGTGAAGCTCTTCCATGAGTTCAAGAACATAAAGACTTAGGAGTGATAATAAGTCATGACTTAAAAACAACTACGCATTGCAACGCAACCGCTGTCGAAGGTTTTCGTGCGTTATAGTCACTTCGTCGAGCGTTCAAATCTTTTGACGAGGAAATGTTTCGAATTTTATATCCCATATATGTTACACAACATTTAGAGTACTGTATCCAAGCAGCTAGCCCATGTCTGGCAAAGGATACTAACTCCCTTGAGCGTGTCCAGCGTGTGGGAAGAAACTAGTGAAGGGTCTTTCTAAACTCCCTTACAATGAGAGTTTAAAACGCCTAAACCTTTTCCTTTTGTCGTATCGTAGGACGCGAGGTGACCTTATACTGGTATTTCGTATCTTTAATTATGATTTAGGTGTTAGTAGGTTCTATCTTTTTGCTCCCTCCAGCACTAGTAATCTCCTAGGTCATAGCAAGAAGGTTCATAAACCACGATCTAATAAACTTAAAGTGGGGTCTCGTTTTTCTCATCGAGTAGTCAATGATTGGAACGCCTTACCCGAACAAGTAGTATCAGCCCCATCAGTGAATATTTTCAAGGAGAACCTGGACCTTCACTAGGAGGCAATCTGTCAGGATTAACACAGGTTCACCAACCTACTATTCTTTTTAATGAGGACTGAAGACTATGCTGTCATCACATTCAATTTAGCTCTAATATGGTAAATGAGAACACAAATGGAGACAGTCGAATATACTTGAACTCACAAATTACAGAACGCCTTGATTGAATCTGAGAACCATACAATAAATCTTTCATTTGCAAAATGTCAATCAATTGTCTCAAACTTCTCTGTTTATTTTCTTTACAGCAATCTTCTCTTTTCTCATTCTCTTTCTTACGACCTTAACATTCTGCCGCCATGCATTTCACTTTCGATTGATGATACAAAGTATTTATATCTATCGACGACAGTAACACACACCACACTAAGAGACGGTGTCGAATAATCTTAATGAAAACAGTACCCATCTTAAAGATGTGTCACAGTAAAATATTTACTCATTTTACTTCTCTGATTCACAAATTGAAAATCGCTTAGTGAACATTTTATTTTAATGAGAGCCATCATTTCAGGGACAAATAATATGTAGGCTACTATAGCCTACCATAACTTTTACGGAAGTATAGACATTGATGACCTTTGTTAACACACAGATCCACGGTTGCTAACTTACAAGCTAACTCAAGCATGCTATTCCCCTTGTAACATGAGTCATCAACTAAGTCTACCCTCGACTCTTCTTTCCAGTTATACTTAACTATTGCTCATGGACAATGTGCCTAGCCCACATAATGAACTTAGGCATAACTTGGACTAACTCTATAATTTCTCCAATAATCCCCCGGAAGCGAAATATCAGAAGGCAGTTAATGGACCAAATCGAGATATATTCGCTAGCGATCTCGTGGTATCGAAAGGATACCGAGATCGTGCCAGGATAAAAGCTTGGTTACAGAACGCAACCGAATTCGCGCGAGGTCACAATCAAAGTGTAAGAATAATGGATGCTTTTTAGCACAGTTAAACAAAAGCACATTAAAACAGTCACTGGTAAAGTTGCTTATAATTATGATTGTTTTTATTAAACCAGTCGTGTTATCGTGATACAAGTGAGTCACTACAATTTTATTCAAACACCACGAGAACTCTTTGAGACCAGTTTTTAAAAGTCACTTTTTGAAAGAAACTTCAGGCTGGAGAAAAGTAATCATGTTCAGTTACAAGTCATGTGATAGTTAATAATAGGATTGATTCAGTAGAATTATGAAAATAATGTACACGAATATCCTTAGTATCTTACATAGTTCGTAAAAAGAAGGAATAATAGAGAATAAATAAATTATATCTGACTGAAATAAAGTATCAACAATTGAGTATTCATAAAGTGAAACAATAGTAACAACTACATGTCCGGATAGTTCTGAATATTTTATTGGTTTTCAAAGAGAAAAACATCCTCCATGGATTATTCTAGCTTCTGGATAGACCAATTTGTTCGTTCAGAATGAAGAGCGAGAAACCAATGTGGAGGAGGCGAGTGAGCCATTTAGTTTTCCATCAAGCGTGACTCAATATTTATAGTCAGACAAAAATAAGTTACAGAAACGTAATGAAGAGAGTGAGCAATCAACACACACTTACTTACTTACGCCTTTTACTCCTAATGGAGCATAGGCCGCTGACCAGCATTCTCCAACCCACTCTGTCCTGGGCCTTCTTTTCTAGTTCCATCCAATTCTTGTTCATTTTTCTCATGTCTATCTCCATTTCTCGGCGTAATGTGTTCTTTGGTCTTCCTCTTTTCCTTTCGCCTTGAGGATTTCATGTGAGGGCTTGTCTTGTGACTCAGTTGGGTGCTTTCCTCAATGTGTGTCCTATCCACTTCCAGCGCTTCTTCCTGATTTCTTCCTCCACTGGGATCTGGTTTGTTCTCTCTCACAGTAGGTTGTTGCTAATAGTGTCCGGCCGATGGATGTGAAGTATTTTGCGTAGACAATTGTTAATAAACACCTGTATTTTCTGGATGCTGGCTTTTGTAGTTCTCCAGGTTTCTACCCCATACAGTAGAACTGTCTTGACATTTGTATTGAAAATCCTGACCTTGGTGTTGGTTGACAGTTGCTTTGAGTTCCAGATGTTCCTCAGTTGTAAATATGCTGCTCTTGCTTTGCCGATCCGCGCCTTCACATCTGCATCAGATCCACCCTGTTCATCAATGATGCTTCTCAAATACGTAAAGGTTTTAACATCTTCCAAATCTTCTCCGTCAATTGTGATTGGATTGGTGCATTCTGTGTTGAATCGGAGAATCCTGCTTTTCCCTTTGTGTATATTGAGACCTACTGCTGCTGAGGCTGCTGCCACACTGTTGGTCTTCTCCTGCATCTGTTGTTGCGTTTGGGATAGAAGGACCCCTAACTAGAGATACTACCCCTTTTTCAGGGTCTGTAAAGTCGGAAAAATGAAATTTTCGCAAATGCGATAAAAACGATCTTGGTGGTCTAATTATAGTATTCCGACATCAGACAATGGGTTTTAGGCGTTATTTAGGCCCTAAAGCTTCAGTCTGGACTATTTCGCTTACTACCCTATACATGTGTTGTATGCACTATTAGCTATATGGTTATGTAGAGCTTAAGGTCTCATATGAGGCTGGAGGTTCACCATTGTTATTGTGGACGGTTCGTCATTGCTTTGCCAGGTTTTGCTGACTGTTCATGCGAAAAATTGGTTTGCTGGTTAACCGATTTCATTCATACTGGTGGTTGCTTTTCAGTGTTCCCGAGGGCCATTGTCATTGAGACATTGTAAGGCATGCCGCCATTGCTAATATTAACGAGTTTGACTGTCGTGTAAGCGGAATGGGTCAACAATCAACACACACACGACCATATAAAAACAGTCAGGATTAATAAGCGAATAATCAACGAGGTAAAAATTCAGCTTGGAAAGCATGAACGAATTGGTCTGTAGCGTGGCGTCGAGTCGAGATTAACTATGAGCACCGCTACCAAGAAACACGTGCCAAATAAATCAGAAGGCGAAGGTTGAACGTAACCAAAGAAACCCATAAAATCCCTGAGAAGCCAAATACCAGAAGGCAGTTAATGGACCAAGTCGATGTTTATTTGCTGGCGATCTCGTGGTATCGAAAGGATACCGAGATCGTGCCAGGATACAAACTTGGTTACAGAACGTAACCGGATTCGCGCGAAGTTACAATCAAAGTGTAAGAATAAAAATGGAAGCACAAAATAGCTGTCATTAGCACAGTCAAACAAAAGCACGCTAAAACAAACACTGGTACAGTTGGTTATAATAATAATTGTTTTTATTAAACCAGTCGTGTCCTCGTGATGAATGTTAGTCACTACAGGTCTATCCAGAAGCTAGAATAATCCATTTGGGCTTGACAATGCATGACGATACAAAACGTATATTTGTAGGTTTCAGCCTAGGAAGCATGCTAGAATGCTTCCTACATACTTATATTATGCACAGTACTTTGTGATTGCATAGTTCAGCTCCATGATCATATTGATAAATCAATAATAAGCACCGACCATTTAGCTTATTTCTACTCCTTGGAAAAGAAACAAATGAGAAACCATGAAGCAACAATCTAAACCTTGCATGTTACCAATAACCACAGAATTTCATAAAATATTTGGCGAGGAACTGTGACTCTTATGGAGAAAATTCTGCTGGAAGCAATAATGGTTCTTGAGAATATTTTCATACAATTTTTCAATATTTATACATCTAAATAAAGCAAAATAACACACCACGTAGAATTAGATGGTTACATCTATTTCGTGTATTCTGTTCTCTTCGTATCGAATATAAAATTTGTTTGAAATGACAAGTGCGAACTTTAGTTAAGTGTGACAATTAAACACCCTGTACAGATTCATGTGAACTATATTTGAAGTGTGTTTTTACAGTGATTGTATTCCCACCTATTTTAAATTACTGAGTAAAAATTAAGATATAAACGGTCGTATTTTTGGTCTTTGGATGATGTGATTTTGGGACTTGTTTGGGAATGTGTTGTTGGAGAGCCGGTAAATCTTCATTGAACCAGTCTTTCGTGTTCTCACTCCGTGAGAATTCTAGTGGTTCTCGATTGTCAGGTATAACTAGTAAGACCGAGGACATAACAAATCCATCTGGACAGCAGAAACAACTTCCCCAGATATAAAACTTGGCGATACGGGTACAAAATTGGTAATGCCCGATGCCAAACATAACAGAATTCCTCCTGTATATAAAAGTGGTGCTGAAGACACAATATAAATGACACCCCAAGCACGAAAGTAAAAGATCAGCTGACAAAATTGTTTCTAGACAGTGTTTCAGGTTGAAAATGACGTATCCACACCCTAAATTAGTCGTTCTGTATCAAAAACTGTTCATTGAGATAGATAAAAGTGGACAAATCCCCACCTCACACAACTACCCTTTGTGTTTACCATTTTACTTGGACGTGCCGAATTATTTACATTAAAATAAAAAGAAGGGTTCCTGTTCACAACAAATGAAACTAATGTGACTGTTCATCACCTGCTTGATATTGAACTCAATATCTTTCAAAATGATCAGTATGCGAATAACTATAAATATATTACGTTTTATCGAAGCCATTGATACAAAAGTTTAAAAGTGAACTTATGCACTCAAAAGGACCTAGGTATAAGTTTCACGTCAGTCTGGTAACTTCAGGTTCTAACACATATGATCTATGATAATATCATTCAGAATTTCGGGACTTTATGTGATGTTTCCGTACAATAGTAATCATGAATAACTAATACACCGAAGAATTCGAATCATGGATTACAGAACATATCATAATTTAAACTTTTACAGTTAGTAATCATTGTATGTTATAAAGATTCATTAATCTTGTACACGATATATATCTTCGAAGATTTTTTACCGATAATGGTGTTATCTGAAAATTCTTTAGGTAGATTATCGCACCAGATCAAAACCAGTAATCACTATATAATTTCCTCAAAACAAATCTTACGCATGACTTAAAAGAGGTACATAGCATCCACTAACTTCTAATGAAGGGTTCCTATTGTTTGACCAAATGTTTGGAAGATGCTTTGAAGCTTCAAACATTTTGTTATCCTGGATTTCTTCACATCCTGCTGATGGGTTTATCTTGACTTTAGTATTACAAGATTTAGTTGACTTAAAGCGTGTTAAGATACACTCAAAATATGTAAACATAGGTTGGTGTTTATTAAATAATCAAACAGTAAATTATCCAAAACTGGCTAGTGTAGAAAGGAATCTTTATCTGTAGTCGGAATCATATTACGCGAATTGGAATATCTAAACTAACAATCTAAAAGATAGTGAATAGATAAACTGAATGAAATAATTGGTTAGGCTATTTCTGTTCACTAAAAAATGATTTTTGTGCAGAATAGACGATTTGTTTATTTTACAGCAAGTGATATGAAGATATCATGGGACGACATGGACTGAGAGAAAAGAACGAAAATGGTGAGAGATTCGCAAACCTATGTGCCTTCAATTAACTAGTCATGGGCGGCACCATATTCCCACATAGTTGCATACACAAAATCACATGGATTTCAACGGGTAACACTACACACAATCAAATTAACCATATCGGCATCAATAAGAAAATTCAGAAAGACGAGGGAGGACGTGAGACACAAGATAGAAGCTGATGTAGCCTCAGGTCATAACTTGCTGGTCGTCAAGATGAAGCTCAAACTCATGAAGTACTAGACAACGCAGTGGACATCACAAATGTTTAATACGACCTTTCTTTAGGATACTGACAGACTCAACGAATTCAAGATAGACCTCAGCAATAGGTTCTAGGCGTTTCACGATCTACTCAATGGAGAGGGAACTACCATGCGGAGCAGCTGGAAAGGGATCAAAGAGGCAATCACTTCAACATTTCATGAGGTTTCGGGCCACAAGAAGCACCATCACAAGGAATGGGTCACTGTTGATATACTGGATAAGATTCAAGAAATGAAGAAGGAGAAGGCCACGTGTTACATATGCCTGAACACAGATTACCACGATTAGTAATGCTGACTAGTGTTGGAGACGGTTGGGATAAATTAAGGGGCAGCCAAACCAAAACGTGGCATCAGTGCCTGAAGTCACTAACTTCTGGTCTGAGCCATGTTGGTAGACGTAGACTACTTGGTTGGGATCTGCGTGACTATCGTAACCAATGGTTGGAGACTCTGGGGGACATGTCTCAGAATCGATCAAAATGGTGTAGGTATGTGCATTCTCTATCTTCCCTTAAACTATGAAATTAAAATCGTTTCATATCTGTCTTTCTACGAACTAGTTTTTCTCCCTGTACTATATCCTTGTATGCAATCTTTCTTTCATATATTACTTCTATGAATCCGCTGTTCATCTTGTCGTGCTAATGAAGTATTGCAACTTGGGCCGATGAACATGTGCCTGGTCCTACGTTGTAGCTGACTGACTGACTCATGTGCCCTTGGAGACTGGTTAAAAGCTCACTTTCAACACCTATTTTACCCGACGAAAGAAGAAATATTGTGTTAGCCGTACTCATAAATATGTCTACTACTCAGATATTTACATGACTTGCAAACACCAGAAGTCACCTGGAAAAAAACAAAAATGCATTGGTCGTTAAACAGACCAACAAGATATTGAACGAAATTAACAACCATCATCACGTGCTCTCTTATAAATGCAAAGAAATATTCGATTTTACAGAATAACTTCCACCTTTTTTCTCTAGTTCGGTTGTAAATTACTATTTAAAAAATTCAAGGCATCTAAATTTGAATAAATATACATACATACAACAGCCGGAACTCATATTTAATATAGTTAATAGGGTGTTGTACTGAAACAACTTGTGGTTAGCATAAGTCACAGTATTATGATAAAACAACATTAGTGGGAATCTGACATTACATATCTTGTTTGTTATAGTACATATAAGACGTTCTGTAAAAGCAAATATGGTCAGGCCTTCTGAACGTTCTTCATAATTTAGTTTACATTCTGATTTAATATATTTTTAATACTCTTCGTTTTCAAATTCCTGAATTGTACTAAGACATTTGATTTCTTAATCCAAGTTTTGGTACGATTTAAGCCAAGAAATGACACGTACTTAGAATTTGCTTTCAACCTGGTCGCTAAGTGTAATGATTAAATTCTTACCAACTAGAGCTATTCTACTTCCTCCATCGTATTAATTTTTATCTAACTGTGCGTTTGAGAACGGGGCACAACGCTAAGTCATCAAATTAAATTTCAAACCAGTCAGAAGTGGATCAGATTTGTAGCTCGAACTGATGAAAACCAAACTACACTATAATTTATTGTAAGGATCAAATGTTTATTCAATACAAATAGTAAGTGTACAAACTGATTTCCAATTAAATGGCTCACCAACTCTGCAGTTTTTTCCTCAAGCTTTGTAGATAAAGAATAACTAAGAATTTGAAGTCGATAACCTTAACCAATGGAGATCGACAAATAACTGAACATTTTATAAGTCAGGAAAAATTTTTTCCCTCTATTATACAATAAAATCGATACCTTGTCATGAATATTATTCTCGAGCTGAAATAGTTTTTGTTATCTTGTTTTTTTCCAAACACTGCAAGAATACCATATTCTTCAACTTACCAGTCATATGCATGTAGTGGAAACAAATGATAACTTGAATTAAAAAATATATCGGCAAATTCGAAAAATGACCGAAAAGATTTGACTTTGTACAGTGAGATGTAACGGATATACGAGTAATTACAGAAATTGTATAGTGGGACTGATGCGGAACCACACAATCATTGAAGCCGGACAAACAGTAGTTAGGAAGATTTACATTATCTGTTGAACATCTGGAGAAGGTCATAGGAGGTGAGCGCAAAACACTCAATCGAGACAGCATGACTCGGCCGTGCAGGCGTAGTCACTATGTATCACCTCTTCCTTTACATATCAAATATATAATCATATCTACAGCCGAAAAGTGTTCTTCATAAGTTCATAAAAAGTATGCTACCGACTGTCATCATAAGACAAGTCAGCATGAAAATAATAAAATGACTTCTACATAAGATCGTATGGATTAGGTAGTCATATCATAGCGATTCCACCATATTAGGTTGCGTCTGTTATTCTAGTAGGATAAATAAATGTACTTAATACCGACTTAGACAGTGATTTTACATTGGTAAGACCGACTGAAGAGACGCATCCTCTTGTCATTGTGACTTTAACGATTGATCTTTACTTATTTTAACCCATTATTCTATTAGTCAGTTGATTAATGCTCACATGTATGATGTTTGGATTTTAGCTTTTTTCCTGAACCTCTGTCACTGATGGAATATATATGTTATTATTAAAAATAGTCACCAATTAAAACTTGGAATGCTGGTTTGACTGACATTGTTACTAGATAAAAGCTATATTTTCCCCCTATTTTTTGACTTTAGAATGTGCAATACTTAAACCTCCATGACTTAAGAATTAGTCCAATTGATAGAGAGCATTAAGAATTGGATGTCGCATAAATATATAGTCTGCCAGACTGTGTTGTTACACGTGATGTATAACCTATATTTTTTATGCTGAAGAGAATGCTAGCAACACACAAATATATGATATTCCGCATGCTATTGATAATGGCTAACTGACATGAGAATGTCAAATAGACGTTTTTTGAATTGTTAAAATCAACAGAAGAGTCAACTAAAATAAATGAGCTGTCGTGGTTGATGAACGCCATCTACATTTATACTTAGCTTACGGTAGAGTGATAATTCATCATCAAACATAGACTAAATAGTTGAACAGGCATAATTTTTTATATTTCCACTATATCCGTGATAAATTGAAGATTGCAAAAATTATGATATTGAAATCTCTAAATATTGCACAGAATACACCTGACATTAGAGAGTTTTGTCGGACATATAAAAAACACTTAACATAAACATTTACTTTTATCAAGATTGAGAGTAAATCTCCTGGCATAAAGATTTACACAGCATTGGAAATAGGAACGAAACCAATCAGAATATGTTAATGTGAAGAGCTAATTTCGTTATTTATTTTTATTTAGCTATATTACGTTTTCTAACATAAGCCACTTGGAATAAAAACTTTTACTGAAGATATTTGTGATTCAATATGTGATGCGCTTGGCCAATTAGACAGGCCAAATGATAACAGCAAGCTGTTGGTCAGGCGCCGGCTGCCGTATCTGAGGAACAAAACATATGCCATTAGTTGAAAGTTCGTATTTATTTTTTTAAGAAAGGTATATATAAACGAATGCACATCTATCCTGCAAAAAGCTCCACCCTTACTCTCATATTTTCTAAGCAAGTGGCTGATTGCATATGAGCTTTTATATCAGGCGAAAAACCAAATTACCACGTATAATAATAGAACGTTTATGTTTTATCTGGCCTGTCAATGTTTTGCTTTACAATTATTATTATTATTATTATTATTATTATTATTATTATTATTATTATTATTATTATTGACTGAAATTTATTCCGTTAACGAGTTTATATGAATAGAAGACATCATCCTAAAAAATAAACTTTATTATTGCCGCCAGGAGACTGTCATAGTATTCTTTTATTACAAGCACTCTCGCTAATATATCGATAAACAATGAAGGTAATGATGATACTTTTTGCGGCAAACTTGATAATAAAATATATTGCTTTATTTCACATTATCAGTTGTGTGCAATTACAGAAGAGTAAACAATAAAATCGTGTTTTACTAGAAACAGAACTCTCTTTTCGTCAATCTCCATGGGTAAAAAGGCATTAACTTCCCTTAGATTTATTTGGAAGTAGAAAATAAGTACTCCTCGCAAATACTGAAATCTTAATATTTAACTGATTTATTTTTTTCAGAAACGATTTTTGACTACATTGGTAGACAAGTAAACCCGTCAAATAAGTTTATATACACCTTCATGTTTATCACGTAATAGATTTTATTACTTAACAAAAGATTAATTCCATGTAAATAATCACCTGTTTCTTTAATTCGTCCAAATCACTGACTTAAAAATGTATAACATTCCACAAAGACGAGTTGGTTAAAGTTGTCACACTTTGCAATACAAATCGAAAACTAATACATATGCCGATACGTTAAGAAAACAATACTGTGGATTTAGAAGGGAAAAAAGACAACTAGAATGTATATTAGATATTTGGAGGAAAACAAATAGTGAATGAACTTGTGACATTGAAACCAACTTCCGGCTATTTATGAAGATAGTTTCAATGGCAGGCTGAAATCAGCTGGAAAGAATTCAAGAACTAGTTAGCGCTGAACGGAGGTCGAGTTTCAGTTTAGAATGCTTAAATATAGTGCATTCGTAAACTCACGTCCAACTAAACTCAGGACCTTCAAATCTCTTAGATGGCACGATGTTTTGAGATCAGAGTCACGCTCTAATGGTTCACATCTCCATCAAAGTGATATAGACAAAAACATTTTGTTGTTGCGACAGACATTTTTTCTACCCGACCAAGTTCAGAAACTATACGTTCAATATTTAGCAAACTTTACTTGAAACGTTCTGTTATTCAAAATTAGGAATTAAGGTGGCAGTTACTATCAATCCCTATATATTTATCAACCAGTCTAAACGTAAGCTCATTATGTTGACTTTTGGTAGTTTTCAAATAAAAGTATTAGTTAAAAGGCGAATAATAGACGAGAGAATTGATGACACTTGAAGTCACAAGATGGAGGAGATAATAATGTCATGTAAGCGATTAACAAATAGAAGAACCATGATTGGATATCCCTTCTTTTGATTTTATAAATGATATACTACTGGATTTATTAAGAAATGTTTAGCATTTTCACGCATCAAATAGATGTTTAAATATAATACAGTAAAACGAGTATTTCCAAAAAGTCACAATATTTGAGGTCAACAAATGTTCCAATGAATTTATATGGCAATTAAAAATTTGACCAAACAATGAGTGGATACTTGGTAAACTTTACTTTTACTTTTAATTAACTTCTGTTGTCCAGTAAATAAATTATAAGCCAATAAAACCTGTTATAAACTGTTAGATTTTAAGGGTGATGCTTTCTTTTATGATTATTTGATTCTTAATATTCACTAAGTTTGGGTTACGAGCTTTTGAAGAGATTAAAACCGATAAAAACAGTTTCATATATGACTGACTTTGAAATAGTCGCTTGAAATACGCAGAATGATGAGTAACCAAGGTCAAGTAACCACCCTCGAAACTCACTTCTAAAAGCATAGGATATTATCTTTCATTTGAAAGGAGGGAAAATCAGAAACATGTTGTCATTTCAACCTGAGATAAAGGCTGTTAGAATCCTAGAGTACCAAGACTAACGTTACAGTAATAAACTTTACAATACCATGAAAAGTATAAAGTACATGCTCTCTGCCTTTTCTTGATGTTTTAAGCTAGACATTTTACCATATTATGAAATCAAAGTTTGAGACTATTTTCCTTCGAGTCTGTTATGATGGAAATACATTTCCATCGACAGAGAGAGAGGGAAAGAAACAAACTTTGACATGATTCGGAGAATATATACTTTTTTGAGTACCGCAGTAGTTTACACTATCAAATACTTCAAATGAACAAAAATCGCAGAAAACGGATTTTTAAAAGTATACAAAAGCCTAAATGTTTTTTAACGAGTAAGCGTATATTCAAGGATTAATTTAATGAGTTGCTAATGTATTGGGACGAACATCAATAATCTGGAGGACAGTAACATTCCCCTGGAATACTGAAAAGAATGTGAAAAAAATAAATACTAATTTACCTCGCAGTTTGTGGTGTCTACGACGACGATGGAACTGGTACCAAACTTTAGGGTGTTCAAGAGTTTTTTCAATCACTACAGCCTCAACATACACCTGATGCACTGGTAAAATTGGTCGACCGATAATAGTAAAGTCTGATGATCCTAAAAGTAGGACCTTCTGTAATTGAACACGATCACCAACGTCAGTTCCATAGAACGGTGTTTTGATCATAATTAAATCGTTATTAGTTACTTTGAACTGTTTCCCTGCAATAGCCACGACAGCGAAGTACTGGGAACGGTTTTCGGATATGGAAGAATTAACTGAATCATAGATACCTGTAGAAAATTAAATATAAATATTAATATGTCAGTCAGGGTATCTGAAAAAATCAATTACTACAATATTTAGGTAGTTCATAGTCTTATAACCACAGTTGTCTTGATGCAATTGTAGAGCTGATGTATTGCAGTGACCCAATCGAACTAAATCGGCGGGAGGATTTGTTCTTTTACCATCTATTATGCCAGGTAGGTCGGTTTGAGAGTACTAGTATGAAAAGTGGTGAACTCTGTCCGAGGACTTAGTCGTAATGCCGACTGCCTAGGAGTGTGACGGCAAAAATATTTTTTCTTCAGGCAACCAGATTCTGTAGCGACGCTGCCTTTCCGAGACGAGGAGCGGGTTGCAAAAGTTCGACCCTGAGAGCCAACCACATCGTCTTGTCCCATGAATTTACGTCACAAGCTATAAAGCTTTTTAAGCACAGAGCTAACTAGGACTACTAAAGGAAATCATGCGTGATTGATCTCAAACAATTATCCATTGGATGCTGGAGCCATGTTTCCAGATTGTAAAAACCAATTTTAAACAAGTTTTCTTTGCAAGTGCCTCAAGAACAAATATTTCTCAACAATGTTAGTAACCAGGAAACGGCAACTCATTTGCCTGTCTTATAGGGTATTGAAGCGTCACAGAATCAAGATCCCTAAGATTTCAGCTAAACGGCGAAACTGTCAAGAGTATATTCCAGTCAGTCAGTCAGTCAGCTACGACGTACATGCACATATGTGCATCGGTCCAAGTTGCCATACCTCATAAGCATAACAAGATGAACACTGGATCCATAGAAGTGGTTAATTCAGTGGTGGTTTATCTCAGTACCAACTATTAAACCAGTTGGTCAATCGACAAAGTAATGTTCGCCACAATGTAGGTTGATATAATATCCAAAAAGCTATGGAATCAGCAGTGACATCCACCAACGGCTTGGACCAAAAGGTTATGAAACATCATTGGATTTCTATAATGTTCACTAAGTCGATAGATGTTCAGAAATTAATTCCATCAAGCTCAAAATACAATGGTGAGCAAAGACAACTCAAACATCGACTGGCAAAAGTCTACGGAATGCTTGTGAGTAGCAGTGAGCAGCGAAAGCAAAAGAGACTGAAAAGGCGAACAACTATTTCAATTCATCAAGGAGATAGTTATTAAAAAGGTAGTTGTTAATGATATTTATGAAAAATATGGGACATTGATACATTTTCAGACCAGAAAATCGGGATGATTCGCAGAATACCTTAAAAAACGGCTCAAGTTGGCTCTAGATACCTTCTAGTTGCTTAATGTTACCGAATAACTTGAATGGGACATTGTCGAAAGCCCGCGACTCTTAATAAAATCGAGAAGGCCACAACTAATCTACAGCGAGAGGGAGTAGGTCATGATAAATTAGCCCCTACGATATTTAAGAACTACTAGCCTTGTACAGACTCTCTAACTAAATACTACTGGTTGAATCAGAAGTGTATGGAGAATTGTCATCGAAATCGTTAACATCAAGTGTTCATCAGGGTTGAATAATGTAACTGTTTACTTGAATTGGTTGTAGATATTCTCTTAGAAATAACTGTTCAGGAGTTGATTCCTTACCAAGATCATTTATCGGTTTAGAACATGCAGATGACGGTTTTGTTTCGTGAAGATACTAAACTGCAGATTCTACTGATCGCCTTGAATGAAAACGTAAACATTTTTCGGATGCATTCCTATTTCTCTAAGTTCAATATAATACCTTATGACTGGTCTACGTCAACTTCTGAAGTTACTGAGTACGTCAATCGTCTACTTGGAATTTCTCGAGTCGAGGTCGTGGATGCGCACTGCTGATGAGTCCCACAATGGGACGAAACAGCCGTTCAGTGCTTCCAGGTTTTCCGTGGTGGTCTAGCTTCGATTGACTCATGATCTCAACTATTGAAATTAATAAAATCTCCACAAAACCCCTTCTGATACTAATCGACATATGCTCACTAGTGGCTGGCTTCATCAAGATGTATATCCTGGAGTTCTAGTGGGAAGCAGTAACCAGTGGAGTTCAACCAGGTCTGTTGTGAGATAGTAACTCACTAATGACAATGGTGTATATGTCGCTCAATTTCGTGGATTAGTTGAAGTTAGACATTAACACCGTTGGATGCCGGCTCAATGGTCCAGTGGTTGCCCCACTGAAACTTATAACCATTCCGAGATGGAATTATCAGCTGCTGTGCTAAGATTGAAAAACACGTTGAATAACAATTGCGTATCCCTATCTTTTCTGTCATTTATTGGAGGGATTCATTATTCGTACGTCATTGTATAAGAAATACAACCGAAAGATTCAAGAGATTTGTAAGCAAACGATTAGCGACAATTCATGAACTGTCCACAGCGAGCCAATGGAAATATGTTAAAGTAAATAGAATCCTGAGCATCATGCTTTAGATGATAACATTAAAACAATTGAGTGATTCCACGGACCGAACTTTTTATGGCAAAACGAAAATAGCTGGCCAAATTCACGCGAAGAGGAAAACCATGTTTTAACCCATTTGTTTATAGAAGAATTAAGCGAAACACCGGCGTGGAGTCATTCTGACCCATTTTTGAATCAATTTAGCAATTGTAAGACCTGGTCCAAAATGTTGAGGATATTCGCTCTATGCAGACGGTTCGTTTACAATATGAGGGTGAGATTAAACAGAGGACCCTTAATTCTTGGTAGATTGAGATTGGAAGAAACTGATAGTACGATGCAGAATATAATTAAATTAGTTCAAATTATCACATTTCTCATAGAGATGGAGACGCTAAGACGCATACAGCATAAAGACGAGCACGACAATACATGTGAATCGCAAGAAAGACCGAGGAAAGGAGTAGATGGATCAGTTATGAATAAGGAAATGATACTCCATCTAATGTCTGTTGGTAAGATAATGAGAAGTAGCGTTGCGCGTAGGAGCTCGATAAAGAATCTTAATCTTTTTGTAATAGATGAAGTCATCCGAGTAGGGGGACGACTTAAATTATCGTGCTTGCTCTTCGAGAGCAAACATCCCCTTATACTTCCTAGTAATCATATTATTGCTGACTTGATTGTAATGCACTATTATTCGCAGAGTGAGCATTCCGGCATTACTGTCAACCTGAACCGTCCTCGCAAATAGTTCTGGGTCAATAAGGTTCAGACCGCTATCCGAAGAGTCCTGAAACGGTGCCATCTATGCAAGAAACTGAACACTACGCCATGCACACAGATTATGGCTTCACTATCTGAATGTCGCCTGGAGGTTTACGTACCACCATTCAATTTGGTGTTTATCTGCCAGTCCACGAGAACTAACCATCGAGTCGCCAGATGCACGGAGTGTGTATCTCGTCGGCTGTCCGTTTTGTCGAGGTGAGGTCAAGTGAATGGCCACACTAGGATCCTGTATGCGTGTTTCAGAGACAAAACATAAATCAGTGGTACGATATTCTAGGGTCTTAGTCCAGGAGGCCTGGTGGCCGACATACGGTAGGTACGTTGAAGACTCCAATGTGTAGTTTGGAGCGAGGTTTCAGTAGACCTGGGAGTCTTTTGCGCACAGGAATCGTTGGCCAGGGTGACACTTGAGGAGAAGGCAAAAGAGGAGGTTTAGAGTTGAAAGTCGACATATGAGGTATAATAGGAATTGAAGGGGGAGATTGATTATGAATATAGTGATCTTGCATGCTGCTAGAGGTATAAGGGGTTTCCACTTCCCGATTGCCCGCACCGTGGTAGGGTCCTTCTAGAGGCACCTTAGAAGGATATCTCGTTAGAGGTAGTCTTAGTGACGTGAGAACGTGACCGCAGTGTCCAAGGGACAACTGTTTGTGGCCGGTTACATACGATTCTTCTCTTAGATTTGGACGTGTAGTAACCTTACCGCCGAAGACGGAAATCCGTGGGATAAGGCGGGGTGTGCATTTTTAGGGTCGACCATTTATAATCCCACACAACCTTTGTGGGAAGGCAGCATTGCTTTTATGATGGTTGTCTGAAGGAAACAGCCTACTGCCGTCACACCTCTGTACAATCAGCGGTACGACTTCGCCCTCGAACCTTGGGTTTTTAGTCTTATCGCTCTGCAACCAATGTTTTTTATGCTAGGAACTTGACGAACGATTGTTTCAGCCAGTACAGCTTGACTGATTCATTAGGTAAGCCCAACCATCACGTCAAGGTAGCGGCAACAGTCGGGAAATAGGAACAATAACGGGGCGGATGTGCAAGCATATAGCATACAATTCTCTTTGAACTTAGCACCTATGAACTGTAAACACGATAAAATCAGACTGGCTTCAGAAATGGCCGTGGCTGCATCGACCACATATTCACCACTAGTCAGATTTTAGAACACAAGAGTGTCTGAACACCGATTACCACGATGCGTAATGCTGACTAGTGTTCGAGAGTCAGTCAGTCAGTCAATAACTTCGTACGTACGCACATCAGTTAGAGTTGCCACACCACCTTAGCACAGAGATGCAGTGGTCGACTCAAATCCCGTAGTGGTAGAGGTAATAAGAGTATAAGCAGTAATCAAGAAAATTAGTGTTTGGAGATGTTATTTAAAGAGTATAATACAGTGAAATAAATTTGGGAAGAGAAAAGAAAGAGACAAAGAGGAATCAGGAGATCAAAATTTGGGAGAACACAAAGAGTGGATGCACCTGCGCCATTGCAAACGATTTTGAGCCATGTCATTCAGGGTCTCTAACCATCGGTGGCTATCATCTCGCGGTCCCCAATCAGGTAGTCTACACCTACCAACATGACTCAGTCCACTTGTCAGTGACTTCATGGACTTGTGCCATGTTTTGGTCTGGCCACCCCTAGATCTCTTCTCACCTACTCCTACACCATAAAACATCGCACGTCGAGGTAGTCGGTCGTTGGGCATACGAAACACGTGTCCCAGCCATTTTAACTGATAAAGTTCCACCACTTTATCAATCGATTTGCCATCCTTACCTAGTACCCGTTTCCTAACAACTGTGTTACTTACTCGATGGTCCGAGGATATACGAGCAATGTTTCGAAGACACCTATGATCAAATACTAGTAACCTACGAATATCCTCTACTCTTACCGGCCATGTTTCACAGCGATAAAGTAGGATGGAACGGACTGCTGTGCAGTAAAAACACGTCCTTTGGTTGATAGACGGATATTTCGCCTACGCCATAAATGACGCAAGTTGGCAGTAGCTAGTCGAGCCTTCTGTATCCGTGCTGAGATTTTGTCACACACCAGACCACAAGGGCTGATGAGACTTCCAAGATAAGTGAAGCGGTCGACATGCTCAACTACTTCACTCCTTATCATTAGTACGGGTGTCAATGCAACCCAATCCTGAAGCAACATTTTGCATTTCGAGGGGGAGAATCGCATCCCGAACATCCCTGCATTATTGTTTAGAGTTGTCACAAGACTCGGCATTTTGTCAGCGTCTTCACCAAATAGAACTATGTCATCGGCATATTCCAAATCAACAAGTGAAACTCCCGGTAGAAGTTCAACCTCTGGAAATTTAGACGAGGCAAGTTTTATCTCTAGAAGTACGTCAACCACAAAGTTGTACAAGAATGAAGAGAGTGGGCAGCCCTGATGAACACCACTTGAGGTAATCAATTCTGATGACAGTTCGCTATAAGCTCTCACTCTACCAGTTGTGTTCGAGTAGAGAGCCTTTACAAGGTTAATGTACTTCTTTGGTACTCCTTACAGTGACAAACACTGCCATAGAACCTCACGATCATCAGAGTCGAATGCTGCTTTAAGGTCGAGAAATACTACCATTGTGGGGTGTCTGATTTCCTATGGCATTTTCAACTTCGTAGAGTCGGAGGACCTACATTAACTTGCCATTCAGGTTGACTGGAGATCGTGGGAAACCGAAGTGTGGCTGATTTTTCTTTTCTTTTATTTCAACACATAGATAATGGTACAAAGAGGCACCAAATACATGTGCGCCACACAAATCTCATTCGATATGTGTGAGGGCTATGATACTGCCCGGGTGCCCAGACCGAAGCAGGTGGTTTTCTTAAGGGGCCACTCCCCGAGCCTTTGACCTAATGGTCTAACCCACAAGGCAGTGGAGCATCGTAAGGAGATGCAGTCCCATGGAAGCCGGTGACCAGCAATTGGTTCATACGCCATTTGTTCCCGCAGGATACTGGAGCCGATGTGCACCAGTGGTTTGTGATCCGGTTAAAGCCCTGGACATTCACTTTTCGTCCTCTCATTTTCGTAAACAACACCCCCGCCACGAGAAGGCAATGAGTAGGACTTCCCTGGCAGAGGCTATATACGCGTGGCCGTGTGAGAGCATTTCGAGAGGGAGAGCGGACTATCCCCACTCTCGGCCGTACCAGGGCATTTGGAGGCTGGCCAGTTGAACTGATCCCTAAAGTGTTCTGCCCATCGATCCAATCTCCTGGATTGAGAATGAATAACATGTCCATCTTTCTCTGAGATTTTTTCGCTAACAGTCGGGTTCCTTCACAAGTCTGAACAATTGTCAGCTATTACCTATTGCCGCTGCCTTTTCCATCTCTCTTGCTTTCGCTACCCACAATCAGTGATTGAGACTAGTCAGATGGGATTACGTCCAGTTCCCAAATTCTACCTAAGACCTCGGCTAATCTCATTGCTAATACTGGACCACCATACTTAAAAATCTCAGGAGTAAACCTGTCAGGACCTGCTGCTCTCCCTCGTTTCAGATTTCCTATGGAATTTTCAACTTAGTAAAGAGTCGGAGGACCTACATTAACTTGCCATTCAGGTTGACTAGAGATCGTGGGAAACCGAAGTGTGGCTGAAGGCCAGTTGAACTGATCCCTAAAGTGTTCTGCCCATCGATCCAATCTCCTGAATTGAGAATGTATAATATGTTCATCTTTCTCTGAGATTGTTTCGCTAACAATCGGGTTCCTAATACCGGTTTCCCTAACGAGTCTGAACAATTGTCTGCTATTACCTATTGCCGCTGCCTTTTTCATCTCTCTTGCTTTCGCTACCCACCACTGTTCGCGATCATTGCGTAGACTTCTTGTCAGCTTGCGCTTAAGCTGACTACGCTCCTCATTAAGTTCAGAGCCAGGTGGAATGAGTTTCCGAACATCTATCAGTGCGATAGATGCTGCTGAGATCCAGTGTTGCTCCCTAACCTTCTGGTTTACCTGACTAGCAGATATCACTGTTGTTTCCACAGCTTTTCGGATATCATTCCATGTTGCATCGGGGTGGGCATCACATACATGGCTGCCTAACTGTTTTCCTATTTGTTCCTGAAATATACTCTTAGCTTGACTATCATTAAGTAGGCCCCTAAGAGGTTTACTTGCAGCATCTTTCCTACGTCCAGTAAGACGCAAGTCCGGTCGCGCACGACCTTTTTGTGGAAGGTTTTTAATGTGTTAGCTCCGTTCTTCAAAGGGCCTTACCGCCGGAGACGGAAATCCGTGAGGTAAGGTGAGGTGTGACATTTTTAGGGTCGACCTTTTCTAACCTCACCCCTTCTTGTGGGAAGGCAGCATCGCTGCAAATGCTGGTTGTCTGAGGGAAACACCTTACTGCTGTCACACCTCTCTACAGTCAGCAGTATGACTTCGCCCTCAGACCTTGAGTTGCTGCTTTTAGTCTTACCGTTCTCCAATCGACCTGCCTGGCATGGTAGAACCTACAGGAACATATGTTTCAGCCAATATAGCTCGGTTGGGCCATCACGATATGCAAGCCCGACCACCGCGTCAAGGTAGCAGCTTTGGTGGGAGTGTTGGAGACGGTTGGAATAAAGGGGCAGCCAAACCAAAACGTGGCATCAGTGCCTGAAGTCATTAACTACAGGTCTGAGCCATGTTGGTAGATCCAGACTACTTGGTTGGAGTTCGCGCGACTATCGTAACCAATGGTTGAAGACTCTGGGTAACGGCTCAGAATCAATCACAATGGGGTAGGTGTATACACGCTTCGTTTTCCTATAAACCGTGAGATTGGAATTACGTTGTACCTTGATTTTACGAACCGATTCTTTCTTCCTGTATCATATCCTTAAGAACAATCTTTCTCTTATACATTACTACGACTGAAGTGACTACTTCTGTGAATTTGGTGTTTATCTTGTTGTGCTAATGTGGTGTGACAATTTGAACCAATGTTTATATGTGCCTGGTCCTACGTTGGAGCTAAATGATTGATATTAAAACAACTGAATCATAGCTATCTCAATAATCAACTTTCCCATGTCGAATTATTTTCTTCAGTTAAGGAATAAGGTTATGTTATGGAGATTTAGATTCAGACAAGGGTTGTGAGTTAGTAGTCATCCCAAAGAGCTTTCGTCATCAACTAACACCAGTGATAATGCAAAAAGGTAAGGTTCATATATTGAGACTTAAGGTAGAATTTGCAGATGGTTTTATAAATTGGCGTTAAAGCTTTCATCACAGACCGACATCAGCTATAATGTGATTTTTTGTCGCCCTTTTCCTTATAAACTAGTGATTAGAATTAAAGGTAAGTATTAAATCGGAGAATACTATTCAGCAGCACGAACCTTTCTTGACTGCGCATAGAATCACATCACGTACTTAACCAGACTCTCCGTTATAAGCAGGTATATTTTGCAATTCAGCTTAAGTACCATTTTAAATTCACATTGTGGTTGCATAATAGATAATTTTTGTTTCCAAGGATCTTAAGGACCAGTCATTGTGAATATTAACTCCGTCCGTCATAGCATAAGACTTATCATCACACCTTAAGTTTCACGTAAATTACACAAGGCGTCATCATCACTCTGAATGAACAACTCAAGGCCGCCAGTACACTATACTTTCACCATTTTGTGCATAGATTTGAAGATGGTACGGGGATTGACAGTCTACGTAACCCAGACGTTATGTAAGGTTGACAACAGAAGAAGCAAGATCGAAGTTTGATTAACCATGGAGGATATTAGTAACAGAATTCATATTTTCTCAAAACGGATATGACTGAAATATTCGGCTATGAGAAGTGTACTAAAAAAAGTTAAAGGACTTACTCTGATGCAGTAACGTATTATTCTGTGGGAAGGAAAAGGGCTTCGGTTGATTTATATCCAAACTATAAAAAAAATAAATGAATCACAGCTACATACAATTCATTATCAAGGACAGTATAAGCTTTGTGTAGCTTGAAACGGGTAGGTTTTCTCGGAGTTTGTTTCCGAATCCAATCTTGCAGAAAGGTTGAAGTGGTCAAATTGACAAGGCAACAAACTGGTTGGTGTCTAGAACGAAACAGCAAGATGAAGGGTAGCATGACCTTCAGGCCGAGATGGCCTTAAAATTTCAAAGATGTGGCTAAAAATATTGAACGGTCTGTAGTCGATTAAATAGATATAGGCTTTATCAAACTCCCAAGCTTTTAGGGATGAAATTAGTAAATCAACGTTCTGAAGAGATATGTATTTGTTTCTTTGTAGTAGAATCTTGGTTATTAGTAAGCGTAACTGGAGATTTTGTTCTGCATTATTTCGGAAGCATTATTTTCATTAGGTGGAGCTTACCTACTTACTTACTCCTGTCGCTCCTCGTGAAGGAGCGTAGGCCGCTCACCAGCATTCTCCATCCAACCCTGTCCTTGGTAATCCTTTCCAGCTTCTTCCATTTCCCATTCATCCTTTTCATATCTGCTTCTATTATCCGACGTAATTTGTTCTTTGGCCTTCCTTTTTTCCGCTTCCCTTCAGGATTCCAAGTTAGGGCTTGCCTCGTGATGCACTTTGACGATTTGCGTAATGTATGTCCTATCCATTTCCATCGTCTTTTCCTAATTTCTTCTTCAGCTGAAGTTGGTTTGTTCTCTCCCACAGAAGGCTATTGCTGATGGTATCCGGCCAATGGATGTTGAGTATCTTGCTTAAACAACCATTTATAAATACTTGTACCTTCTTGATGGTGGTTGTTGTAGTTCTACAAGTTTCAGCTCCATACAGTAGAACTGTTTTGACGTTCGTATTGAAGATTCTCACTTTGACATTGGTTGAAAGTTGTTTTGAGTTCCATATGTTCTTCAATTGTAGGAATGCGACCCTTGCTCTGCAATCCTCGCCTTTACATCTGCATCTGAACCTCCTTGTCCATCGACGATGCTTCCCAGGTATGTGAAGGATTCTACATCTTCCAGAGTTTCGCCATCAAGTGTGACTGGATTGCTGTTCTCTGTTTTGAATTTGAGGACCTTGGTTTTCCCCTTGTGTATGTTGAGGCCTACTGATGCAGAGACTGCTGCCACACTGGCTGTTATTATCTGCATTTGTTCGTGTGTATGCGATAGGAGGGCTAGGTCATCTGCAAAGTCCAAATCGTCTAATTGGTTCTGAGCTGTCCACTTTATGCTATGTTTTCCCTCAGATGTCGAGGTCTTCATAATCCAGTCGACCACCAGAAGAAAGAGGAAGGGAGAACGTAGACAGCCTTGTCATACTCCAGTCCTTACTTGGACCTCATCCCGTAGAAAACCAACTCGCTAAAAAAATGCTAACAAGAAAAAATAGTTTAAACCATTAGGTGGAGTAACGAAGGACTAAAACTAGGAGTAGCGAATCACAACACTATAAGATTTGAAAAATTTATAAAGTCTTTTTCAGAAAGATAATCCAACTATATCAGTTTCACTCCAAACGAATTCTAAGGATTGGACACTATTTGAGCGCTTTTCAGTGCTCTCTTCTAAAATTATTTACTATTAGGTCATAACACCTAGAAGGTGAAATGCAAAGGATTATTATGCATTTGACGAATCACATATACACTCGTTTTCATGCTTTCCTACTGTATATCATACGAAACTCTTGATACCAGGTAAGTTTATTCTCATATGACAACTGCCTACAGTTTACGATTGCCGAATTCCATGGTCAAACAGAAAATACGAATACCAGTTTGTCACATAGTGTTTATGTGTTGTGTAAAATTCTTGGTTGTGCACAGCACTCTCAGTCGTCTTATGTAAATTTCAACTTACATGCCTAGTATCAGTTGGAAGTATGAATCGACAATACGCTAAATTCCAGCCGAGCGTAACCTACAACCAGAGTGAAACTACGTAAACAAATAATTAGAAGTTTCTTGGATAATAACTTCCATCTGCTTGAGTCAACGACCAGTAAATGATAGGGCGTAAGCCTATAGATTTATGGTCTTTTCAAACACAAGCAGATCAATCTTTTTAATATAATAATAGACAAAATTCAAAAAATGTAGATTTGTCATGATGTGACCATTTAATCTATGAGATCTTACGTCACACCATAGCCCACACTAACTCATCCCACGTGTCAACCAGCGATATGACGACCGGTACTTCTGAAGAAAACATTTTTACTGTTAAGAGAGTAATATTCTAGATATAAAAACAAGATGGTAAATTGTTCATAGTTTTCTCTCTCTGTCAGTGATATTTTTCCTTCAATATGAAGTTATTGAAAATAGAAACACATTTGCCTCATAATAGGATAAAATTCATGTTTGAAATTGATTCTAAATTAGTCATATAATATATAATCATAATATTTGGAAGACACTTTTGACCAAATATCTGCTACATACTCGTGTCTTTTTTATTCGGAGACCGTGTTATAAGCAATAAAGCAGTACGAAGCATACTCCCGTCCATTATACACTCCCTTCGGCCTGCAGTATGACATCTTTCATACCACACAAGTGACACAGGTTAACAAACGACAACAAAGCTTTTAGAAATGTTCCCGAGACTTTGACATAAACTAATCAACCAGGACTGATGATGAGACAGTTGAAGCTAGACCACTATAGAAAACCTGGAAGCACTGAACGACCGTTTCGTTCTGTTGTTAGGCTCAGCAGTGCGCATCCACAGCCTCGCCTCGCGGGATTTGAACCCAAGGCCCAATGATCTCGCGCGAGGGCAATTAACCACTGGACCATTGAGCCGGCATCCAACGGTGTTAATGTCTAACTTCAACTAATCCACGAAATTGAGCGACATATACACCATTGTCATTAGTGAGTTACTATCTCACAACAGACCTGGTTGAACTCCACTGGTTACTGCTTCCCACTAGAACTCCAGGATATACATCTTGATGAAGCCAGCCACTAGTGAGCATATGTCGATTAGTATCAGAAGGGGTTTTGTGGAGATTTTATTAATTTCAATAGTTGAGATCATGAGTCAATCGAAGCTAGACCACCACGGAAAACCCGGAAGCACTGAACGGCTGTTTCGTCCCATTGTGGGACTCATCAGCAGTGCGCATCCACGACCTCGACTCGAGAAATTCCAAGTAGACGATTGACGTACTCAGTAACTTCAGAAGTTGACGTAGACCAGTCATAAGGTATTATATTGAACTTAGAGAAATAGGAATGCATCCGAAAAATGTTTACGTTTTCATTCAAGGCGATCAGTAGAATCTGCAGTTTAGTATCTTCACGAAACAAAACCGTCATCTGCATGTTCTAAACCGATAAATGATCTTGGTAAGGAATCAACTCCTGAACAGTTATTTCTAAGAGAATATCTACAACCAATTCAAGTAAACAGTTACATTATTCAACCCTGATGAACACTTGATGTTAACGATTTCGATGACAATTCTCCATACACTTCTGATTCAACCAGTAGTATTTAGTTAGAGAGTCTGTACAAGGCTAGTAGTTCTTAAATATCGTAGGGGCTAATTTATCATGACCTACTCCCTCTCGCTGTAGATTAGTTGTGGCCTTCTCGATTTTATTAAGAGTCGCGGGCTTTCGACAATGTCCCATTCAAGTTATTCGGTAACATTAAGCAACTAGAAGGTATCTAGAGCCAACTTGAGCCGTTTTTTAAGGTATTCTGCGAATCATCCCGATTTTCTGGTCTGAAAATGTATCAATGTCCCATATTTTTCATAAATATCATTAACAACTACCTTTTTAATAACTATCTCCTTGATGAATTGAAATAGTTGTTCGCCTTTTCAGTCTCTTTTGCTTTCGCTGCTCACTGCTACTCACAAGCATTCCGTAGACTTTTGCCAGTCGATGTTTGAGTTGTCTTTGCTCACCATTGTATTTTGAGCTTGATGGAATTAATTTCTGAACATCTATCGACTTAGTGAACATTATAGAAATCCAATGATGTTTCATAACCTTTTGGTCCAAGCCGTTGGTGGATGTCACTGCTGATTCCATAGCTTTTTGGATATTATATCAACCTACATTGTGGCGAACATTACTTTGTCGATTGACCAACTGGTTTAATAGTTGGTACTGAGATAAACCACCACTGAATTAACCACTTCTATGGATCCAGTGTTCATCTTGTTATGCTTATGAGGTATGGCAACTTGGACCGATGCACATATGTGCATGTACGTCGTAGCTGACTGACTGACTGACTGGAATATACTCTTGACAGTTTCGCCGTTTAGCTGAAATCTTAGGGATCTTGATTCTGTGACGCTTCAATACCCTATAAGACAGGCAAATGAGTTGCCGTTTCCTGGTTACTAACATTGTTGAGAAATATTTGTTCTTGAGGCACTTGCAAAGAAAACTTGTTTAAAATTGGTTTTTACAATCTGGAAACATGGCTCCAGCATCCAATGGATAATTGTTTGAGATCAATCACGCATGATTTCCTTTAGTAGTCCTAGTTAGCTCTGTGCTTAAAAAGCTTTATAGCTTGTGACGTAAATTCATGGGACAAGACGATGTGGTTGGCTCTCAGGGTCGAACTTTTGCAACCCGCTCCTCGTCTCGGAAAGGCAGCGTCGCTACAGAATCTGGTTGCCTGAAGAAAAAATATTTTTGCCGTCACACTCCTAGGCAGTCGGCATTACGACTAAGTCCTCGGACAGAGTTCACCACTTTTCATACTAGCACTCTCAAACCGACCTACCTGGCATAATAGATGGTAAAAGAACAAATCCTCCCGCCGATTTAGTTCGATTGGGTCACTGCAATACATCAGCTCTACAATTGCATCAAGACAACTGTGGTTATAAGACTATGAACTACCTAAATATTGTAGTAATTGATTTTTTCAGATACCCTGACTGACATATTAATATTTATATTTAATTTTCTACAGGTATCTATGATTCAGTTAATTCTTCCATATCCGAAAACCGTTCCCAGTACTTCGCTGTCGTGGCTATTGCAGGGAAACAGTTCAAAGTAACTAATAACGATTTAATTATGATCAAAACACCGTTCTATGGAACTGACGTTGGTGATCGTGTTCAATTACAGAAGGTCCTACTTTTAGGATCATCAGACTTTACTATTATCGGTCGACCAATTTTACCAGTGCATCAGGTGTATGTTGAGGCTGTAGTGATTGAAAAAACTCTTGAACACCCTAAAGTTTGGTACCAGTTCCATCGTCGTCGTAGACACCACAAACTGCGAGGTAAATTAGTATTTATTTTTTTCACATTCTTTTCAGTATTCCAGGGGAATGTTACTGTCCTCCAGATTATTGATGTTCGTCCCAATACATTAGCAACTCATTAAATTAATCCTTGAATATACGCTTACTCGTTAAAAAACATTTAGGCTTTTGTATACTTTTAAAAATCCGTTTTCTGCGATTTTTGTTCATTTGAAGTATTTGATAGTGTAAACTACTGCGGTACTCAAAAAAGTATATATTCTCCGAATCATGTCAAAGTTTGTTTCTTTCCCTCTCTCTCTGTCGATGGAAATGTATTTCCATCATAACAGACTCGAAGGAAAATAGTCTCAAACTTTGATTTCATAATATGGTAAAATGTCTAGCTTAAAACATCAAGAAAAGGCAGAGAGCATGTACTTTATACTTTTCATGGTATTGTAAAGTTTATTACTGTAACGTTAGTCTCGGTACTCTAGGATTCTAACAGCCTTTATCTCAGGTTGAAATGACAACATGTTTCTGATTTTCCCTCCTTTCAAATGAAAGATAATATCCTATGCTTTTAGAAGTGAGTTTCGAGGGTGGTTACTTGACCTTGGTTACTCATCATTCTGCGTATTTCAAGCGACTATTTCAAAGTCAGTCATATATGAAACTGTTTTTATCGGTTTTAATCTCTTCAAAAGCTCGTAACCCAAACTTAGTGAATATTAAGAATCAAATAATCATAAAAGAAAGCATCACCCTTAAAATCTAACAGTTTATAACAGGTTTTATTGGCTTATAATTTATTTACTGGACAACAGAAGTTAATTAAAAGTAAAAGTAAAGTTTACCAAGTATCCACTCATTGTTTGGTCAAATTTTTAATTGCCATATAAATTCATTGGAACATTTGTTGACCTCAAATATTGTGACTTTTTGGAAATACTCGTTTTACTGTATTATATTTAAACATCTATTTGATGCGTGAAAATGCTAAACATTTCTTAATAAATCCAGTAGTATATCATTTATAAAATCAAAAGAAGGGATATCCAATCATGGTTCTTCTATTTGTTAATCGCTTACATGACATTATTATCTCCTCCATCTTGTGACTTCAAGTGTCATCAATTCTCTCGTCTATTATTCGCCTTTTAACTAATACTTTTATTTGAAAACTACCAAAAGTCAACATAATGAGCTTACGTTTAGACTGGTTGATAAATATATAGGGATTGATAGTAACTGCCACCTTAATTCCTAATTTTGAATAACAGAACGTTTCAAGTAAAGTTTGCTAAATATTGAACGTATAGTTTCTGAACTTGGTCGGGTAGAAAAAATGTCTGTCGCAACAACAAAATGTTTTTGTCTATATCACTTTGATGGAGATGTGAACCATTAGAGCGTGACTCTGATCTCAAAACATCGTGCCATCTAAGAGATTTGAAGGTCCTGAGTTTAGTTGGACGTGAGTTTACGAATGCACTATATTTAAGCATTCTAAACTGAAACTCGACCTCCGTTCAGCGCTAACTAGTTCTTGAATTCTTTCCAGCTGATTTCAGCCTGCCATTGAAACTATCTTCATAAATAGCCGGAAGTTGGTTTCAATGTCACAAGTTCATTCACTATTTGTTTTCCTCCAAATATCTAATATACATTCTAGTTGTCTTTTTTCCCTTCTAAATCCACAGTATTGTTTTCTTAACGTATCGGCATATGTATTAGTTTTCGATTTGTATTGCAAAGTGTGACAACTTTAACCAACTCGTCTTTGTGGAATGTTATACATTTTTAAGTCAGTGATTTGGACGAATTAAAGAAACAGGTGATTATTTACATGGAATTAATCTTTTGTTAAGTAATAAAATCTATTACGTGATAAACATGAAGGTGTATATAAACTTATTTGACGGGTTTACTTGTCTACCAATGTAGTCAAAAATCGTTTCTGAAAAAAATAAATCAGTTAAATATTAAGATTTCAGTATTTGCGAGGAGTACTTATTTTCTACTTCCAAATAAATCTAAGGGAAGTTAATGCCTTTTTACCCATGGAGATTGACGAAAAGAGAGTTCTGTTTCTAGTAAAACACGATTTTATTGTTTACTCTTCTGTAATTGCACACAACTGATAATGTGAAATAAAGCAATATATTTTATTATCAAGTTTGCCGCAAAAAGTATCATCATTACCTTCATTGTTTATCGATATATTAGCGAGAGTGCTTGTAATAAAAGAATACTATGACAGTCTCCTGGCGGCAATAATAAAGTTTATTTTTTAGGATGATGTCTTCTATTCATATAAACTCGTTAACGGAATAAATTTCAGTCAATAATAATAATAATAATAATAATAATAATAATAATAATAATAATAATTGTAAAGCAAAACATTGACAGGCCAGATAAAACATAAACGTTCTATTATTATACGTGGTAATTTGGTTTTTCGCCTGATATAAAAGCTCATATGCAATCAGCCACTTGCTTAGAAAATATGAGAGTAAGGGTGGAGCTTTTTGCAGGATAGATGTGCATTCGTTTATATATACCTTTCTTAAAAAAATAAATACGAACTTTCAACTAATGGCATATGTTTTGTTCCTCAGATACGGCAGCCGGCGCCTGACCAACAGCTTGCTGTTATCATTTGGCCTGTCTAATTGGCCAAGCGCATCACATATTGAATCACAAATATCTTCAGTAAAAGTTTTTATTCCAAGTGGCTTATGTTAGAAAACGTAATATAGCTAAATAAAAATAAATAACGAAATTAGCTCTTCACATTAACATATTCTGATTGGTTTCGTTCCTATTTCCAATGCTGTGTAAATCTTTATGCCAGGAGATTTACTCTCAATCTTGATAAAAGTAAATGTTTATGTTAAGTGTTTTTTATATGTCCGACAAAACTCTCTAATGTCAGGTGTATTCTGTGCAATATTTAGAGATTTCAATATCATAATTTTTGCAATCTTCAATTTATCACGGATATAGTGGAAATATAAAAAATTATGCCTGTTCAACTATTTAGTCTATGTTTGATGATGAATTATCACTCTACCGTAAGCTAAGTATAAATGTAGATGGCGTTCATCAACCACGACAGCTCATTTATTTTAGTTAACTCTTCTGTTGATTTTAACAATTCAAAAAACGTCTATTTGACATTCTCATGTCAGTTAGCCATTATCAATAGCATGCGGAATATCATATATTTGTGTGTTGCTAGCATTCTCTTCAGCATAAAAAATATAGGTTATACATCACGTGTAACAACACAATCTGGCAGACTATATATTTATGCGACATCCAATTCTTAATGCTCTCTATCAATTGGACTAATTCTTAAGTCATGGAGGTTTAAGTATTGCACATTCTAAAGTCAAAAAATAGGGGGAAAATATAGCTTTTATCTAGTAACAATGTCAGTCAAACCAGCATTCCAAGTTTTAATTGGTGACTATTTTTAATAATAACATATATATTCCATCAGTGACAGAGGTTCAGGAAAAAAGCTAAAATCCAAACATCATACATGTGAGCATTAATCAACTGACTAATAGAATAATGGGTTAAAATAAGTAAAGATCAATCGTTAAAGTCACAATGACAAGAGGATGCGTCTCTTCAGTCGGTCTTACCAATGTAAAATCACTGTCTAAGTCGGTATTAAGTACATTTATTTATCCTACTAGAATAACAGACGCAACCTAATATGGTGGAATCGCTATGATATGACTACCTAATCCATACGATCTTATGTAGAAGTCATTTTATTATTTTCATGCTGACTTGTCTTATGATGACAGTCGGTAGCATACTTTTTATGAACTTATGAAGAACACTTTTCGGCTGTAGATATGATTATATATTTGATATGTAAAGGAAGAGGTGATACATAGTGACTACGCCTGCACGGCCGAGTCATGCTGTCTCGATTGAGTGTTTTGCGCTCACCTCCTATGACCTTCTCCAGATGTTCAACAGATAATGTAAATCTTCCTAACTACTGTTTGTCCGGCTTCAATGATTGTGTGGTTCCGCATCAGTCCCACTATACAATTTCTGTAATTACTCGTATATCCGTTACATCTCACTGTACAAAGTCAAATCTTTTCGGTCATTTTTCGAATTTGCCGATATATTTTTTAATTCAAGTTATCATTTGTTTCCACTACATGCATATGACTGGTAAGTTGAAGAATATGGTATTCTTGCAGTGTTTGGAAAAAAACAAGATAACAAAAACTATTTCAGCTCGAGAATAATATTCATGACAAGGTATCGATTTTATTGTATAATAGAGGGAAAAAATTTTTCCTGACTTATAAAATGTTCAGTTATTTGTCGATCTCCATTGGTTAAGGTTATCGACTTCAAATTCTTAGTTATTCTTTATCTACAAAGCTTGAGGAAAAAACTGCAGAGTTGGTGAGCCATTTAATTGGAAATCAGTTTGTACACTTACTATTTGTATTGAATAAACATTTGATCCTTACAATAAATTATAGTGTAGTTTGGTTTTCATCAGTTCGAGCTACAAATCTGATCCACTTCTGACTGGTTTGAAATTTAATTTGATGACTTAGCGTTGTGCCCCGTTCTCAAACGCACAGTTAGATAAAAATTAATACGATGGAGGAAGTAGAATAGCTCTAGTTGGTAAGAATTTAATCATTACACTTAGCGACCAGGTTGAAAGCAAATTCTAAGTACGTGTCATTTCTTGGCTTAAATCGTACCAAAACTTGGATTAAGAAATCAAATGTCTTAGTACAATTCAGGAATTTGAAAACGAAGAGTATTAAAAATATATTAAATCAGAATGTAAACTAAATTATGAAGAACGTTCAGAAGGCCTGACCATATTTGCTTTTACAGAACGTCTTATATGTACTATAACAAACAAGATATGTAATGTCAGATTCCCACTAATGTTGTTTTATCATAATACTGTGACTTATGCTAACCACAAGTTGTTTCAGTACAACACCCTATTAACTATATTAAATATGAGTTCCGGCTGTTGTATGTATGTATATTTATTCAAATTTAGATGCCTTGAATTTTTTAAATAGTAATTTACAACCGAACTAGAGAAAAAAGGTGGAAGTTATTCTGTAAAATCGAATATTTCTTTGCATTTATAAGAGAGCACGTGATGATGGTTGTTAATTTCGTTCAATATCTTGTTGGTCTGTTTAACGACCAATGCATTTTTGTTTTTTTCCAGGTGACTTCTGGTGTTTGCAAGTCATGTAAATATCTGAGTAGTAGACATATTTATGAGTACGGCTAACACAATATTTCTTCTTTCGTCGGGTAAAATAGGTGTTGAAAGTGAGCTTTTAACCAGTCTCCAAGGGCACATGAGTCAGTCAGTCAGCTACAACGTAGGACCAGGCACATGTTCATCGGCCCAAGTTGCAATACTTCATTAGCACGACAAGATGAACAGCGGATTCATAGAAGTAATATATGAAAGAAAGATTGCATACAAGGATATAGTACAGGGAGAAAAACTAGTTCGTAGAAAGACAGATATGAAACGATTTTAATTTCATAGTTTAAGGGAAGATAGAGAATGCACATACCTACACCATTTTGATCGATTCTGAGACATGTCCCCCAGAGTCTCCAACCATTGGTTACGATAGTCACGCAGATCCCAACCAAGTAGTCTACGTCTACCAACATGGCTCAGACCAGAAGTTAGTGACTTCAGGCACTGATGCCACGTTTTGGTTTGGCTGCCCCTTAATTTATCCCAACCGTCTCCAACACTAGTCAGCATTACTAATCGTGGTAATCTGTGTTCAGGCATATGTAACACGTGGCCTTCTCCTTCTTCATTTCTTGAATCTTATCCAGTATATCAACAGTGACCCATTCCTTGTGATGGTGCTTCTTGTGGCCCGAAACCTCATGAAATGTTGAAGTGATTGCCTCTTTGATCCCTTTCCAGCTGCTCCGCATGGTAGTTCCCTCTCCATTGAGTAGATCGTGAAACGCCTAGAACCTATTGCTGAGGTCTATCTTGAATTCGTTGAGTCTGTCAGTATCCTAAAGAAAGGTCGTATTAAACATTTGTGATGTCCACTGCGTTGTCTAGTACTTCATGAGTTTGAGCTTCATCTTGACGACCAGCAAGTTATGACCTGAGGCTACATCAGCTTCTATCTTGTGTCTCACGTCCTCCCTCGTCTTTCTGAATTTTCTTATTGATGCCGATATGGTTAATTTGATTGTGTGTAGTGTTACCCGTTGAAATCCATGTGATTTTGTGTATGCAACTATGTGGGAATATGGTGCCGCCCATGACTAGTTAATTGAAGGCACATAGGTTTGCGAATCTCTCACCATTTTCGTTCTTTTCTCTCAGTCCATGTCGTCCCATGATATCTTCATATCACTTGCTGTAAAATAAACAAATCGTCTATTCTGCACAAAAATCATTTTTTAGTGAACAGAAATAGCCTAACCAATTATTTCATTCAGTTTATCTATTCACTATCTTTTAGATTGTTAGTTTAGATATTCCAATTCGCGTAATATGATTCCGACTACAGATAAAGATTCCTTTCTACACTAGCCAGTTTTGGATAATTTACTGTTTGATTATTTAATAAACACCAACCTATGTTTACATATTTTGAGTGTATCTTAACACGCTTTAAGTCAACTAAATCTTGTAATACTAAAGTCAAGATAAACCCATCAGCAGGATGTGAAGAAATCCAGGATAACAAAATGTTTGAAGCTTCAAAGCATCTTCCAAACATTTGGTCAAACAATAGGAACCCTTCATTAGAAGTTAGTGGATGCTATGTACCTCTTTTAAGTCATGCGTAAGATTTGTTTTGAGGAAATTATATAGTGATTACTGGTTTTGATCTGGTGCGATAATCTACCTAAAGAATTTTCAGATAACACCATTATCGGTAAAAAATCTTCGAAGATATATATCGTGTACAAGATTAATGAATCTTTATAACATACAATGATTACTAACTGTAAAAGTTTAAATTATGATATGTTCTGTAATCCATGATTCGAATTCTTCGGTGTATTAGTTATTCATGATTACTATTGTACGGAAACATCACATAAAGTCCCGAAATTCTGAATGATATTATCATAGATCATATGTGTTAGAACCTGAAGTTACCAGACTGACGTGAAACTTATACCTAGGTCCTTTTGAGTGCATAAGTTCACTTTTAAACTTTTGTATCAATGGCTTCGATAAAACGTAATATATTTATAGTTATTCGCATACTGATCATTTTGAAAGATATTGAGTTCAATATCAAGCAGGTGATGAACAGTCACATTAGTTTCATTTGTTGTGAACAGGAACCCTTCTTTTTATTTTAATGTAAATAATTCGGCACGTCCAAGTAAAATGGTAAACACAAAGGGTGGTTGTGTGAGGTGGGGATTTGTCCACTTTTATCTATCTCAATGAACAGTTTTTGATACAGAACGACTAATTTAGGGTGTGGATACGTCATTTTCAACCTGAAACACTGTCTAGAAACAATTTTGTCAGCTGATCTTTTACTTTCGTGCTTGGGGTGTCATTTATATTGTGTCTTCAGCACCACTTTTATATACAGGAGGAATTCTGTTATGTTTGGCATCGGGCATTACCAATTTTGTACCCGTATCGCCAAGTTTTATATCTGGGGAAGTTGTTTCTGCTGTCCAGATGGATTTGTTATGTCCTCGGTCTTACTAGTTATACCTGACAATCGAGAACCACTAGAATTCTCACGGAGTGAGAACACGAAAGACTGGTTCAATGAAGATTTACCGGCTCTCCAACAACACATTCCCAAACAAGTCCCAAAATCACATCATCCAAAGACCAAAAATACGACCGTTTATATCTTAATTTTTACTCAGTAATTTAAAATAGGTGGGAATACAATCACCGTAAAAACACACTTCAAATATAGTTCACATGAATCTGTACAGGGTGTTTAATTGTCACACTTAACTAAAGTTCGCACTTGTCATTTCAAACAAATTTTATATTCGATACGAAGAGAACAGAATACACGAAATAGATGTAACCATCTAATTCTACGTGGTGTGTTATTTTGCTTTATTTAGATGTATAAATATTGAAAAATTGTATGAAAATATTCTCAAGAACCATTATTGCTTCCAGCAGAATTTTCTCCATAAGAGTCACAGTTCCTCGCCAAATATTTTATGAAATTCTGTGGTTATTGGTAACATGCAAGGTTTAGATTGTTGCTTCATGGTTTCTCATTTGTTTCTTTTCCAAGGAGTAGAAATAAGCTAAATGGTCGGTGCTTATTATTGATTTATCAATATGATCATGGAGCTGAACTATGCAATCACAAAGTACTGTGCATAATATAAGTATGTAGGAAGCATTCTAGCATGCTTCCTAGGCTGAAACCTACAAATATACGTTTTGTATCGTCATGCATTGTCAAGCCCAAATGGATTATTCTAGCTTCTGGATAGACCTGTAGTGACTAACATTCATCACGAGAACACGACTGGTTTAATAAAAACAATTATTATTATAACCAACTGTACCAGTGTTTGTTTTAGCGTGCTTTTGTTTGACTGTGCTAATGACAGCTATTTTGTGCTTCCATTTTTATTCTTACACTTTGATTGTAACTTCGCGCGAATCCGGTTACGTTCTGTAACCAAGTTTGTATCCTGGCACGATCTCGGTATCCTTTCGATACCACGAGATCGCCAGCAAATAAACATCGACTTGGTCCATTAACTGCCTTCTGGTATTTGGCTTCTCAGGGATTTTATGGGTTTCTTTGGTTACGTTCAACCTTCGCCTTCTGATTTATTTGGCACGTGTTTCTTGGTAGCGGTGCTCATAGTTAATCTCGACTCGACGCCACGCTACAGACCAATTCGTTCATGCTTTCCAAGCTGAATTTTTACCTCGTTGATTATTCGCTTATTAATCCTGACTGTTTTTATATGATCGTGTGTGTGTTGATTGCTCACTCTCTTCATTACGTTTCTGTAACTTATTTTTGTCTGACTATAAATATTGAGTCACGCTTGATGGAAAACTAAATGGCTCACTCGCCTCCTCCACATTGGTTTCTCGCTCTTCATTCTGAACGAACAAATTGGTCTATCCAGAAGCTAGAATAATCCATGGAGGATGTTTTTCTCTTTGAAAACCAATAAAATATTCAGAACTATCCGGACATGTAGTTGTTACTATTGTTTCACTTTATGAATACTCAATTGTTGATACTTTATTTCAGTCAGATATAATTTATTTATTCTCTATTATTCCTTCTTTTTACGAACTATGTAAGATACTAAGGATATTCGTGTACATTATTTTCATAATTCTACTGAATCAATCCTATTATTAACTATCACATGACTTGTAACTGAACATGATTACTTTTCTCCAGCCTGAAGTTTCTTTCAAAAAGTGACTTTTAAAAACTGGTCTCAAAGAGTTCTCGTGGTGTTTGAATAAAATTGTAGTGACTCACTTGTATCACGATAACACGACTGGTTTAATAAAAACAATCATAATTATAAGCAACTTTACCAGTGACTGTTTTAATGTGCTTTTGTTTAACTGTGCTAAAAAGCATCCATTATTCTTACACTTTGATTGTGACCTCGCGCGAATTCGGTTGCGTTCTGTAACCAAGCTTTTATCCTGGCACGATCTCGGTATCCTTTCGATACCACGAGATCGCCAGCGAATATATCTCGATTTGGTCCATTAACTCCCTTCTGATATTTCACTTCCGGGGGATTCTATGGATATCCTGGCACGCGTTCCTTGGTAGCGTTGTTCATAGTCAATCTCGACTCGACACCACGCTACAAACTAATGATTCCTTTGCACTTGATGAATGCTTGATTTCGAATTCTAAATGCAGTTTATTCCTTCATGCTTTTCTATTACTCCTTGATCCAATTGCGTTATTATTGGGATTCTTAGTTTGTACTATAGTTCAAATACTCCTAATTATCACAGTTCTATATAGATATAAAATATATTAATTTATTAACATGAATGTGAATTCTTCACATATTTAAACCTTCTGATGAGAAATAAAGTTTGTACAAGTTCGTCTTTCGACCTGATAGATAAAATCTATTTCTTTTTGATAAATGTCCCGTTGGAGTTAAAAAAAATTAGGATTCCCCTTTTACTTTTGAAGTAGTTTTCCTCGGAAAGTTCATGAAGAACTATTGAATATAGTGAATTTGTAATTCTGAAAAACGTATGTGGACTAAATTTAACAAAGCAGTACGTCTGAGGGGAAGTGTAAAATACAATGGATTGCTTGAGTGCAGCTAGACTACTTGCACTTCTCAGATGACCTAACTCTTCTATCCTATACACATCTGTAGTGTGGCGTTGAATCGCGGTTGACTATGATCACCACTACAGGAAAACTACGTGACAGTTAACCGATAAGATCCCCCGTAGGCCAAATATCAGAAGACAGTTGATGGCTGTAGTCGAGATATATTTGTTGGCCATCTCGTGGTATCGAAATAATACCGAGATCGTGCCGGGTTACAAGTGGGGTTACTGAGCGTAATCGAATCCGTCCAAGGTTACAATCGAGGAAAGAATGCATGTATTTTGATACAGTTAAACAAATAAGTACAGTAAAACAATCCCTGGCACAATTGGTTATAGTAATTATTGTTTCCATTACACCAATCGCGTTCGCTTGATAAAAGTAGGTCACTACACATCAACAAATGTAGGTCAAGACAACCAGTGTAGCAACAGACTCTGATATAACAGGCTTCAACATACGCAAGGGAAAAAGCAACATCCTTAAATACAACACGGAGAACACCAACACAATCACGTTTGGTGAAGAAATTCTAAAAGAGGTGAAAACTTCCACATGCCTGGACATCATCATCGATACAGACGTAAAGGCGAGGACTGGCAAAACAAGGAGGACATTCTTACAGTTGAACAACATATGGAGTTCAGAACAACTGCCAACCAAAATCGAAGCCAATATCTTCAATACGAACGTCAGGACAGTTCTACTGTATACAGCTAAAACGTGGAGAACCACTACAAGTACAATATTTATAAGCAATTGTCTACGCAGGATACCATCAGCAACAGTCTACTGTGGGCGAGAACAAAGAGGCTTACAGCTGAAGGGGAAATTAGAAAAAGACGTCGGTGTTGGATAGGACATACACAGCGGAAATCACCAGGCTGCATCATGAACCAAGTTCTAACTCGGAATACTGAGGGGAAACGGAAAAGATGTTGGCCAAATAGCCCAAGGCGCCGAGAATTGGAAGCAGACGTTAACGGGATGAATAGTAATTGGAAAGGATTGCCCAGGACAAAGTTGGGTTGAGAATGTTGGTGGGCGGCCTATGCTCTTCCACGAGGAGTAACACGCGTAGGTAAGTAAGTACAGTCTGTCTCAACAATCACCAAATTAATAAAAAAAACAATCCAGGAGGATTTTTTCAACTAAAAACAGAGGCAAGTTGTCCGGGCGCTTTGCATAATACTGAATCCCTTTGACCTCAATAGGAAAGAGGCCCAGAATATTCATTCAACTTGGACTGTTTAGCCAAACGACCACATATGACCTTATTTATTTTCCACAAAGACCCCCAATCTAAAACCCACTAAATTACATTACGAATGTATACGTTCATCACCCCTACGTCCTGTCGTACAAATTAATACGGTGACAGGTAATAAATATACATCTTGACCAACAACAAATTAACATTGACATATTGTGGTGTTTGAATTAACTAATGATTCTTCCGTACTTGTTGATTGCTCGATTTCGAATTCTTAATACAATACATTCGTTTTTGCTCATGTAGTACTTCTTGATTCGATTGCGTTAATTCTGAGATTCCTAGTTCATACGATAATTCAATTACTTTCAAACATTATACATATTTAAACCTATCATGATTTTAATAGTCGGAAAAATGAAAGTTTCGCAAGTGCGATAAAAATGATCTTGGTAGTCTGCTTGTAGTGTTTCGACACCAGACAATGGGTTTTAAGCGTTATTTAAGCCCTAACGCTTCAGGCTGGGTTATTTCGCTTACTATCCTACATATGTGTTGTATGCAGCATAAACTATATGGCTATGTAGAGTTGAAGGTATCATATGAGGCTGGAGGTTTGCCATTATTATTGTGGATGGTTCGGCATTGCTTTCGCAAGCTTCGCTGACTGTTCCTGCACAAAACTAGTTTGCTGGTTAACCGATTTCATTCATACTGTGGCTTTTTTCAATGTTTTCGAGGGCCATTGCCATTGGGACATTGTAAGGCATGTCGCTATTGCTAACATCAATGAGTTTGACTGTCGTGTAGGCGGACTAGGTCAACTTGGCCTGTTCATGCTGTGCATAATTGATTCACGCGATCATTGATCAAATAACTATGCATGTGATGTGAATGTGTATATGGATAGTGCAAATGGTCCACTAGGGTTCTTAGTACCTGTGTGGTTGCACCACATGATTGAGCCGTACTATTCAGATTGTAACGTTAAAGCCTATACGGTGTCTGTTTCTTCTGTGAAGCGGGATTGAGCTGTACTGCTCGGTCTATAAAATTTAAGCCTGGGCATTGTCTGGCTCTCTTGTTAAACGAGGTTGAGCTGTACTGTTTGATTTGTTACGTGAGAGTCTGGATGATGTCTGGTTCTCCTGAAGACCAGTGTAAAATTACCCTGGCCCACAAGGGTATATTATTTGACTAATAATAATGATTTTGATTGTGCTGTACATATTCTTCATTGTTTACTTGATTTTATTTAGACTTAAGTTAATTTTATCTCTGTAATTTATGTGCTGTGTAGAAGCGGTTCAAATTAAGTCACGAAACATCAAAAATACAATTTTCCACTTACTAAGGAGTCGAAAAATATTTATAGCGGTAAATCTTTAAAATAAATAGATCTGTAAGTCTTCGACATTAGATGCTGACCATATTCGTTTTAATGGACTCACCCAGCTGAAGGCTCTCGGTCATGCATCCGCACCAGATCACTAGTGGGAACGCTGTGCTCAACATCCCGTGCAATCGCTAGTCGGCCTAGATCAGTCGATTCTCGATGTATTGATAACCTATCAAATCTATCTTCTAACCTCCTCGCTTCTGTCTTTTGATTTCTCGTGGTGGGTACGATTCGTGGTAGAAGGTGTTACTTGCCAAAGCGTTGTCAAACTCTAAGCCCCTGTGGCATCTTCTTATTTATAATTAGGTCATTAGACACTTCCACACATTTACTTGCAATGCGAATTTATTCATGGGTGGTTGCTGGTTCACGTCTAAATGAAATACAAATCGGTTAATTGCGAACCCATTGAGTGATAAATTATAGATCCAATTTACACTGTCAAGTACAAATGATTGGTATTTGAACTAACTGAACCCGCGAAATTATTGTGTTCATAGTAACATGATGCAGTTAGCACTCAAGAAATCCAACATTTTAATGA